CAACTCTTTCCATCAACAAATCAATTTACCCTCTTTGGCTGGATTTCACTGTGAACATGAAAAAATCTTCCCGAGTTAAAGACTCAGACTGCATGTTTTTGTTTCACCAAATCTCTCATGGCGTAGGTCAAGAACGGATTAAACTATTTGTTCTCTGTTTTAAAGATTTTGTTTCTGCTCTCATTATACCTACGCATCCCTCAGCAAGAGCCCTATCCATATTGGTGCTACAGAATTCCGTACATGGATATGCTTGTTAAACCTTTGTTCTGTTGGAACATATTGAAATATGGCCATTCATTACCCTTGACAGCGTTAAGTGCTCCTCATCCCAACAACATGTGACCACGAAGAATACGCCTCAAAACCCACACTTATCAAACGCTTGCGGTGAAAACTCCAACAACCCAGTTATTGTTCTCCAACTTGTATTGTTTTCCACCATATCGAGCCCACGCATTGTTCAAAACTCAACATTTGACAATTTCTTTAACATCAACTGTGCGAAATCACTAGTAAATTCTGGTAGTGGCGGACATTTTGTTGTGGCATTTTTCTCCAGATGCCAAGAAACATAAAACGATCGTCTGCGCAATTTGGAAAATAACTCTTTCGATGCCCTGAACCCAGTTGCCACTATCGACCATCTGTTTACAACAGAGATGGGTCTTTGTCCATGGTGCCATGGCCTCCCATTAACGTTTCCAAACACCCACTTGATGTGTCCATTGTCCTCATCAGGCAACAAAGCACATCCAAAATATGATTGTCATCAAATGGTTACTACATCACGCCAGCTAGAATCACAAATGGCTTCTTATACTGATTGTGTAACGAATAATTGTATCAAATAACCAAATACATCAACCAAATGCAGCATAGTCCACCGAGACCGTAACCATCGGTAACCAGAAAATTACTTGTCCAACCGGTTATCCCCTTATCGACGTTGTTATCTTGAAAAAAAATCAATGGAATCTCTGAAATCTAGTTTTAGGCTGATAAGTATCCTAAGGCACCCTCTGCACCCTTCTGAAAAAAAGAGTTGTACTTTTGCGCTCAGCTTGGAACTCGATGGTTGTGCAAATCTCTGTGAATTGAAGCGCGCACCTTTTCAATAAACCCCTTATTGATGAACCATGAAAATCCATGATTGCTCGTTCTTATACCCCACATTGGCCGCATGGCCGTGTGCTTGAGCTTGTCTGCACTTGTTACAAACCCTATGTGACCTAAAAAAAAAGGGACGCAGTGTGGCGGCTGCCCAAGGGATGGTTGTGTTCCCCAGCAAAGTGGGTCACAACATATTTTTAATTGTCTTGTCATAACGCCACGAAATGTGGCACTGGACAAAAAAAGTCTAGTTTCTGCCCTGGAGTTTCTCACCGTTCCACACGATTGTAAGTATTTCTTCTGCCTCTTTCACCTTCCCTTGAAACAAACCATTTCCTACTCTCTCAAATGTTGTTGTCTCCACCCACAAATTCGTTTCGCTACTTCTTCGTACGGCTAAACCGATGACCTTAGCATATGCATTGTAGAAAAGAATAAGCAATCCTCCTCTGAATTGATTTTCATTTGCAAACATTAACCTCAGTAAAGTCATTCATAAACTATCTAGGTTTGGGAAGCTAACTGTAGACACCCCATTTTTGACCATCCTCAAGACTTTGGCACTCAACCGTTGGAAACACCGGAGATGGCATCGCATGTTTGTGAATTCGTACCTTGAGTTCCCAGAAGGTTTCGGCTTGGCGCTGCCATAGCTTGAATGTATCTTGCCTCAGGAATCTCTCGACGAGCTGTGTTTAAGTGTCTGGTATTGTAGCACCAAACACCTTTGTGTTTGCCTTGGGTAGGGGCAGGAGAAATGCCTTGGAGGTAGTCCCCAACACATCTCACCATAATGGAGGCGCGCCCATGGCTAGAGGCCACCGGCTGGTGTTTGTTGCCATCGTATCTATATATATTGCCAGTCGGACGCATTATTTGTTGCGGGCGCAGTACCATTTGTCAAGATGGGCAAATTTTGAGGCAGCCGACTACTGTTCATCTTGGCTGTTTGCAGATATTTTAATACAAGATGTATGGCATTGTTGTTCCCTCCAATACACGTAATGTGTAGTTGGAGGGGCCTTCTTTAGCTTACCTTGTCAAGCTTTACAAGATTGCTCCTCTATAAAGAGGAGCCCCCCTCTTGGATTTAGGGTTAGAAATTTTAGAGAGAAAACATGTGGTTAGAAGCTCTGTTCTAAGGTTAGAACTTATATACATTCTATCTCTATATTTCTTCATCTTGAGTGTTCTAAGGTGTTAAACTTGTTCATTTTATGTATTGCATCATCAAAAACACCTACAATTACACCTTCCCTTGGCTATTGGAGGTTGTAAGGAGATTGGTTTTCAAGAGTTTTGAGCTGGTTTTGGAGCTTTAAGAAGCTTGCTGGAGTTATTGTTGAAAGAAGTCTACAAGGTAAGAAACTAGGTGCCCTTTATCCCCATTTTTGCATACTATTTTTGCTATCTTAAGAACTATTTTTTGAGCTTTAAGTGATAATATAAAAAGTTTTGTTTTTAGGCCCTTCTAAATAGTTTGTTAGAGTGTTTTTGTGGTTTTGGAGGTGTTTGAACAGCCTCTTAGGCCTTGAGAGGCCCATTTTAATGCTATTTTGAGTGAGCTCCGGAACCTTGGTGTTTGGGCCTCCTCACCACTGAAATTCTTGAGGGATTTTAAGGTAAGGATGGTGCCTTGAGGTCCTAGGGAGGAGAGGCGCCACCCCCTCTCCCTTGTTGGTCTCTTGAAAAGGGCCATTTTTGGCCGGTCTTTAATGAGCACCTAGCTAAGCCCATGTTGAACATGCCTTGGCTTTTTGCGTTTATGCTTATTTTGCCAATGAAATAGCATTGTTGTTATGTTGGTTTTGGTACACCCATGCATGCTTAAGCATACCTACCTTGTAATGCCATGTTTAGGCCTTAACATGCCTTAGGTTGTAAACCATTGTTCAAGCATGTTGGTAGGTCTAAGCTTTGTGAAGCTTTTGTGCTTACTGTTACCATGCTAAGAGGTCTGTCCTTAGTCATTTTGGTCGGCCATGGGAGCATGTTGGTAACCCCTATGCATTTTGGCTGCTTGGCCTTAAGTGTGTGAGTATGGTAGCGATGCATTACTTGCTATTTTTAATGGTTTGTTCACCAATTTATAGCATCATTTCAGTCCCTTAGCATGCTTGTATGCTTGCCTTGGATGCCTCTTTGATGCCCTTATGAGCTTGTGTGGTATGCCTCCTTGAAAGTGCATTTGTAATACTGCTTTGATATTCAAAGCCATTTAGATGCCCAATAAGTGGTCTTTGGGCTTTGTTTTATGTGCTAAAACTCTGGTTTTTGGTCATTTAAGTCTTGCCAATGGGTGGTCAATATCAAGTGTAGTTCAATACAGTCAATTAGCTTGCCTCGAATGCTTGGGCCATTTGTTACATGTTTTAGTCTATCTTAGTTTGCTTGGTTTTGGCACCATGTCCTTGCATGAATTTTCAGAGGCATAAGGTGCATGCCCCATGATCCATTATTATTCCCTTTTAAGTGTGGCTTGAACAAAGATGCCCCTTATCTGTGAGTGTTTAGGCCTTAAACATGCCGCATGTGTGTATGTGTGTTTGGTCCCATCTTCTTAAGCTGTACGCATACAAGCCATGTCTAACATAGAACGGTCCACTGAACTATGCTTCGACACGAGAAGTATGGGCACATACCAGACCAAGCTCAACATGGAAAGGCGCGAGAACATGAAGCTTAGCTAGGTGCTCCCTCATGAGGCCAAAAATGGTCCTTTTCAAGGACAACAAGGAGAGGGGGTGGCCCTCTCCTCCCTAGGACCTCAAGGCACCATCCTCACCTCTGAAATCCCTCAAGATTTCAGTGGTGAGGAGGCCCAAACACCAAGGTTCCGGAGCTCACTCAAAATAGCATAAAATGGGGCCTCTCAAGGCCTAAGAGGCGTCAAACACCTCCAAACCACAAAACACTCTAAACAAACTATTTAGAGGGCCTAAAAACAAAACTTTTTTATATTATACACTAAGCTCAAAAATAGTTCTAAGATAGGCAAAAATAGTATGCAAAAATGGGGAATAAAGGGACTAGTTTCTTACCCTTGTAGACTTCTTTCACAAATGAAGCTCCAGCAGCTTCTTAAGCTCCAAACCAGCTCCAAAACTCTGAAAACAATCTCTTACAACCTCAATAGCCAAGGGAAGGTGTAATTGTAGGTGTTTGTGTGCAATACTATGAACAAGTACACCTAGAACACTCAAGAGAGAGAGATATAGAGATAGAATGTATATAAGTTCTAACCTTAGAACCAGAGCTTCTAACAATGTTTTTTCTCTCTAAAATTTCTAACCCTAAAGCCAAGAGGGGAGGGCTCCTCTTATAGAGGAGCCAATCTTGTAAAGCTTACAAGGTAAGCTAACAAGAAGGCCATCCCTCCATACACGTGTATGGAGGGGAACAAAATGCCATACAACTGTATTAAAATATCTGCAAAAGCAGATGAACAGTAGTCGGCTGCTCAAAATTGCCATCTTGACAAAATGGGCTGCCGACCAGCAACATAGAATGCCGACCGGCAATATACATTGCCGATGGCAACAAAACACCGGTGTGCTTATTTATTTGTTTGATTTTAATTTATAGGACGGCACTAGCGGGTGTGTTTTTTTGTTGATTTGTTTGATTTTAATTTATATAATGGCATTTACGAGTGTACTTTTTTATTATTTGCATTTAACTGATGCCAAATCTGCACATCTGTTGTCTACGTGCACATCTGTTGTCTATGCGATTTGTTATGTAGATATGACGGATGAACCTGAAAGTAGTAGGCAGAAAGAGGTCAACAGTAAAATTGACAATCAAGTTGCTCCGGATGGCAAGGATGATGTTGTCGATGGGAAAGAAGAAGGGTTAGCTTCCCAAACCTATGATAGTTTACGAATGCATACTGAGGTTGATGTTTTGCAAATGAAATTCAATTCAGAGGAGGATGCTTATTCTTTCTACAATGCATACGCTAGGGTCATCGGTTTTAGCGTACGAAGAAGTAGGAAACGAATTTGTGGAGACAATAAATTTGTTGAGAGTAGGAAATGGGTTTGTTCAAGGGAAGGTGTAAGAGAGAAGAAATACTTACAGCGTGTGGAACGGGTGAGAACTCCCAGGGCAGAAACTAGACTTTTTTGTAGTGCCACATTTCGTGTGCGTTATGACAAGACAATTAAAAAATATGTTGTGACCCACTTTGTAGGGGAACACAACCATCCCTTGGCAGCACCACACTGCGTCCCTTTTCTTTGGTCACATAGGTTTGTAACAAGTGCAGACAAAGCTCAAGCAAAGGCCATGCGCAATGTGGGTATGAGAACGAGTCAAATCATGGATTTTATGGTCCATTAATCAGGGGGTTATGAGAAGGTGGGCTTCATTCACAGAGATTTGCACAACCAGTTCCAAGCTGAGCGCAAAGTACAACTCGCAGAAGGGGATGCAGAGGGTGCCTTAGGATACTTATCAGCTAAACTAGATTCAGATCCATTATTTTTTTTCAAGTACAACGTCGATAAGGATAACTGGTTGGACAAGATTTTCTGGGCAGATGATAGGTCTCGGATGGACTATGCTGCATTTGGTGATGTATTGGTATTTGATACAACTTATCGTACAAATCAGTATAAGAAGCCATTTGTGATTCTAGCTGGCGTGAGTAACCATTTTATGACAATCATATTTGGATGTGCTTTGTTGCCTGATGAGACAATGGACACATACAAGTGGGTGTTGGAAACGTTAATGGAGGCCATGGATGGACAAAGACCCATCTCTGTTGTAACAGATGGTGATAGGGCAATGCGTCAGGCAATCGAAAGAGTTATTCCAAATTGCAGACATCGTTTATGTTCTTGGCATCTGGAGAAAAATGCCACAACAAATGTCCGCATACCAGAATTTACTAGTGATTTCGCACAGTTGATGTTGAAGAAATGTCAAATTGTTGAGTTTGACAATGCGTGGGCTCGTATGGTGAAACAATACAAGTTTGAGAACAATAACTGGGTGTTGGAGATTCACCGCAAGCGTGATAAGTGGGTTGAGGCGTATCTTCGTGGTCACATGTTTGCTGGGATGAGGAGCACTCAACGTGTCAAGGGTATGAATGCATATTTCAATATGTTCCAAGAACAAAAGGTAAAGTTGTATGAATTTGTAGCACAATATGATAGGGCTCTTGCTAGGATGCATGTTAATGAAGCAGAAACAGAATCTAAAACAGAGAATAGTTTCCCGGTTTTGACTACGCCATTGAGAAGTTTGGAAAAACATGCAGCTGAGCTCTTTACTCGGAAGATTTTTTCATTGTTTCGACGTGAAATCAGCAAATAGGGTAAATTGTTTGTGATGGAAAGAGTTGAGTTGGAGGATCGTCACACCTATCATTTTGGTGAATACAAGGCACCAACAAGCACATGGACGGTTGAGTATTTTCTAGCAGATATCACAATAAAATGTTGCTGCTTGAAGTTTGAATCGTTTGGCATCCCCTGTTGCCACATGGTTGCTGTCATGAAATCTAAACAATTAATGTGTATTCCACCGAGTTGTGTCATGAAGAGATGGACAAGACATGCTAGGTCAGGATATCAACAACCAAGTCTTACCTAAATTTCTAGCACCCTAACACAGACAGCCCGGTTCGGTATACTAAGCTCATGTTTTAGTGAAATGTCATATTATGCCTCACACGCAGATAACGATTTTGAAGAGGCAAGGGAAATGGCTTTCCAGATGACATTGAAGATGAAAAAGCGCTGGGCAATGCGAACAAAATATAATACCGAGGTTGGGGACAAAATATTGCACCCAAACTATGTGGCGTTGGTGATCCTAATGTAGTGAAGACCAAAAGGAACCCCGGAGGGACATCTTCTATGGGTAAACCTCTAAAACCAAGGCGCTGTGGGTATTGTAGGTATGGTACTTTAATTGCATGTCCTTTTTCCATCCTATTGCATGTACATGATTATTAAAATTGTTTATGCGTTATTTGCTATTGTAGGAGCATCGGACACACGAAGCGAACGTGTAAAAAATTGGCTTCAACTAGCCGGAGAGAGGGTAGCGACTCAGACATTGAAACATTCTTGAACATAGAGTTGGAGCCCCACATGGAAGATATTGATGAACCGACAAATTCTCAAGTGTAGTTTAGTTTTATGATGAGCCGTATAGTGATTGATACGTTGTTTTTGCAAGGAGACATTAGTGCATAATAGTTACGTTTTGTTGATGTCTTAGGTGTTTTTATCTTTCACAATATCCATAAATTCTTAGTTTGGAGAATCATTTAAAAAATAAAGGTAAATAACTCCCAAATATGTTTGCTCGAATATTGTCCTTAAGTTGGATGAGCTTACAATCACTACTAATATTGCAATGTCTCTCTCTCTCTCTCTCTCTCTCTCTCTCTCTCTTTCAGCTCTATTATTTGTTTTTCTTTTTAATGAATAACAAAGAATGCATAAATATGGCTATGTCACCCCAAACGTGTGGGGCTCCCTTCATATTTCAGTTTTGATTTTTTGAAATTGCCTCGTTTTCTTATCAAAATTGACATTTGTCTACGTTGTTCTACTTGTAAATTTCTTAGTTTGGGGATTCATTTAAAAAATAAAGGTGAATAAATCCCAAATCATTTTTTTGAAATACTTGACCGGTATTTCGGAAGTGTAAGCCTGCTAGACCTTGGAGAATCATTTCCTGATATGTAGTTGTAATATCTTAATCTTAGTTTTGACACTCAAATTTAGTGTGATGGTTCGTTTTTTGGTTTCTTGGCACTTATGATTGGTCTCTTATGCTTAAAATATTGGCATTAAAATATACAATTGCTATCAATTTTCTCGTCTTGTGCTTTGAAACTGGGCACTTATGATTGGTCTCCTTTTGTTGAATGTTTTTATCCAATCAGTCTTTATTTTCTTTCCTGTCTGCCTGTGTCTCAGGCAATTTGTCATTTTTCTAAGCATACTAGTGTGAAACTCAGTGCCCAGTTTACTTTTCGTTTTTGTTATTTGTGGCCCCACCCCCAGGGAAAGAAGGCGAAAGGATAGTCATAGAAGTTTTATGTAATTGTATAACCTGTTGTTCTTTGCTACCCTTTTGTTTTGGTATATGTCCTTTGCAATTGGTGGTGGTGTGCCATATTATTCCTTATTGTGATAATTTATGTGGACAATTGATAAAATCTTGTTTAACTTCCTTGACTCTATCTCAGCGGTCGGATGGCCCCGGTGGGTAGGCGAAACTAGTTGTCAGAGATGGGGGCACAGAGGGGGGTCTTGGCAGGGGATGGTGTGGGCTTGTGAGGGAATTGGTGCTGGAGTCACTGACGAAGGTGTAGATTAGAGGGGAAATGAGGAGAAGGAAAATGATTGGAATGTAAAAATTCTAAGGACTGAACATGGTTGCAGCTTGTCGTGTTCTTCTTCTGGACCTCTGGTGGAACCCAACAACTGAAGATCAAGCAATAGATAGAGCCCATCGGATTGGACAGACCCGTCCGGTTACAGTTTTGGGTTGACAGTAAAAGATACAGTTGAAGATCGCATTTTAGCTCTTCAGGTATTATTTTTTTTGCTCCAATCTTGTGGCCTGTTTTTTTCCATTGTCAATTTAAAATTCGTAAGATTTTTTAAGGTAGTGTAGAAATGTTCACCATCTGCTGTCACATTATTATTGGCACTGGATTCGTTATGCTTGCTTTTACTTTTCTTTTCTTTTTTTCTTCTCATTAATTGTTTGCAATGAGTAATTGATTTGATAATATGATGAGACTATGATTGAGAACTTTTGTACTTGATTAACATATGGTAGTAGAGGTATTTTAGATGTTGAACAGGGTCTTTTATAACAGCTGGTGAAGGCATTGGTAAGGATAAAACTGATTTACTTACTAATAATGGTTGCTTGGTTTCTTGAATGAACACCATCTTTACAAAATTTATCATTCCTTAATTTTATTTGTAGCCCAATTAAACCTTAGTAGCATTATATCGCAATTTTATGTAAAGGGAGGTTGGTGTATTTATGCCAAACTTGTGAGATTCAATGTAATTTACCCATATAATAATTGTGGATGAAGATCCTCTCACACCTGTTGTAAACAATATTTTATAGTTAGTGATGGCATTGTTTACAGATTCAACTGTGTAGAGGGTTATTATTATCTGACAGGTAACCGAATTATTGAAATCTGAATAGGACATTGCTACTTCATATATTTTTCCCTATTCCTGAGAAAAGCTTTTGTTATGTTAAATCAATCACGTATATTTGGCTTATGGTCCAAACTTAGTATCTGTATTCTATATCTCCTTTCAATGCTGATGCTGAATACTCACTTTCTGTTTTGCAGCAAAAAAAGAGAGTGATGGTTGCATCTGCATTTGGCGAGGACGAGACAGGTAGTCGTCAGACTCGGCTTACAGTAGAGGACTTGAAGTTCCTGTTCATGGTCTAATTAGGGTATTCTTTATAGTGTAATTCAGTGCTCATATTTCAATAGATTCATTATTATTAGCAGTAGCAGCAGCTACACAGTCGAAGAGGCTTTTTATAACGACAGATCTTTGGTAGTTGCTAGAAAAGAGCGGGCTTCATTTGACAAAGACATCATGCGATTTGTGGAAAGAATTGACATGATCCGATTTTTTTAACAATTGATTTGTGTCACATTTTGATTGTATAGGATTTGGAGTTCAATAGCCAAGTACTGAATATAGGAGCCCAGTGGAGATTCTTTTTTTGGGTCTGAATTGTAAATGCTTTTCCATTTCTTACCATACAGATATACTTATAACATCGCTTTGATCCGGAAATGTGATTATATTTTATTGTGGTGGTTCTTTTTTTATTTGTTCTATTCTAGTGGTTATGTTTGATGACATTATGGAAGAACCTTAATAATCTGAAATTTGTTTTTGTTTGCACCAACTCATGTTTGGGAGTAATGTTAATAGTTTGGTCATAACAGCTCATTTTTGTTTATGCTATCATGCTGATGTTACTATAGTAGCTGGATGCTCTTCTGGATAGATATGATACAATGTTGCACTGGTTTAGTTGATGCTCTGGCACCCTAAGGTGGGTGCTTATTCCATGTATTTATTTTTGTTTTTAGTGATTTACAAAAAATATTTTCACAATTTTTGTATATTTTTAAGTGTATCTACATTAATTTGATTTAAAAAGTTAAAAAAATAAAATAAAATATGGATTTTAAAACAAATTGTAAAACAATCAAGATGAATTTTTCCTTCTTCACTTGTAAAACAAATTGTAAACAATCAAAGCCTTCGTATGAATTTTTTGAGTGATTGTAATTGTAACAACTAAGAGTATTGCTTCACAATCTTTAGCACTAAGTAGATATTCCATAGAAATTGGAAAAAAAAAATCCAAAACAAATATACTTATTCAAGCATCCACAAAAAATTGCCAAACCAAGTTAGTTACATTTGTCCAAGCTTCTTCAGCCATAAAATATGCTCATAATTGTAAAAAAAAAATTAGTGGCAAAAAGGATGTTTGTTATCAATCTTTCTTTTTCCTTTTGGCCTTCTGGAGCGTAACGTACCTGTTCAAAAGGAAATTACATAAGTAATGAGCTGAGCTTATGAAGGGCATAAGTTGTTCATGGTTTGGGGACGTACCTCTCTTTGTATGTGTCCAACCGATCCATAACATCAATATACTTACTGTTTGACAAATCTTTCACTAGGTCGACTAGCAGCCTAAACCTTTCCATCTTATCAAACTGAGGAAATAGAACAGACAATATACCATCAACAATACCATCATACGACAATGTCATTGTAGTAGTGTAATTATGTGGTTAAACATGAAATAGTCACCTTGTGTATGCCGGTCGGCATGACAACACCTTGCATATACTTTATGACGAACATACCACAGTCATAACTTCATGAAAAGATGCATGTGAAGGTCAACCTTGTGTGTAATATTAATAGGAGAGCCAAAATTGGAGAGTGAAGGAATAATTTTTTTAGTATACCTATCAGTCTTATGTTGGAGACAAGGGTCTTTCAATCTCTGTAATTCAAATTCCTTGACGTTTGCAACATACTGCTCTCCAAAATAGTGTTGCAATAACAAATGCATTGTTTGAAGCTATGCATGAGCGTAGTAATATAGATTATGATGTTTATTTTACCAAAGACAAAAAAAAAAATTAATTAATTAAATGGCCTACCAGTTTCGTTGCCATTAATTCTCGACTTTCATAATTTGTGCGACTAGAACGCGAGTCAAATAGGTAGGCCATGCGATGTGCCATATCTATCTTGACACAAAACCAATGTTCT